ATATGAGTCATAGACGGGAATAAAATGTCTCACCTTTAAAATCACCTTTTTAGCCGCCTCCCTTCGAACCGGATAATATCGACTCTGCCTTTATGGACGAGCCCTCTCAAGGTCTGCTTCATTTCCTTTCTCTGCATAAAAGCAATAGACGATTTTTACATGCTTATACTTCCTCACCTCACAGTATCGGACAAGATTAATGTTTTTATTCTAAAAGGAACTTAGCAGAATCAAGGCTTTCAAATAGTCAATTATCAGCAGATCACAAGATTGTTCTATGATTGCTGTGTTTCCGTAGATGTGCACGAGTGATTTTAGAGGTGTGGAAGGGCGATCCGACACCATCGCCGTCACCGACTCTTCCTTCGTCACCACCTCCGCGTACACCCACGCCCGAACCAGAACCAGAGCCTGAACCCGAGCCTGAACCTGAACCTGAGCCCGAGCCCGAGCCTGAGCCTAAAGAGCCAACCCCTTCACCCACACCTCCACCTTCACCTTCACCCACTCCTTCACCAGGTAATTGCACCAAATGAGCTGCACAGAACACAGAGAAGGAATTTTCAAATGAGTTCAAGAGGCGTCACAAACAATGTTCAGAGCCAGTGAAGGAACCCACACCTGAACCTGAAATATCGCCTGAACCAAGTCCAGTGCCTACCCCTGAACCTCCACGTGAACCGACGCCAGAACCAGAGCCCGAACCAGAGCCAGAATCAGTGCCTGAACCAGAGCCAGAACCTGAACCACTGCCAGAACCAGAACCTGAACCAGAACCAGAGCCATTGCCAGTAAGTTGCTAGCTTACAGCACTACTCAAAGTGACATTGTTAATGACTAAACCATGATTTCCAGGAACCCTCTCCGAGACGTAAGTTTACTGATTATTAGCGTGAATTGTGGTTCGCAATAAACTTTCAAAGCCGAGTTACTGTTTTAAGCTCGACAACTTACTGCAGAAGAAATTGCTGCGCAGAGACGACGGGAATACAGCGAAATGGCTAAGCGAAGATACGAAGAGTATCAGAAGGTTTGTAAGATGTGAATAACTGGTGACATTCCGTATCCTACTATTCCAGCAATGGAAGAAATTCCGGCAACGAGCGCATCGGCCAAGTATGCCGGAACATCGACCAGGTTCAGCGGTGCCGCCATCTCGAAGAAGTTCAGGGGCACCATCATCATCATCTAGGCGAGAGTCAAACGTGCCGTCGTCCGGAAGAAGTTCGGCGGCACATTCCTCGAAAAACTCCACTCGACCAGGAACTCCTGAAAGCTCATCTTGATTCTGTATCATGCGAATTATTGTTCATATTGTTGTATACTTTGTTTATAATTATAAATTGCTGACATGATCTGCACAAAATTCTCTGTACTGAGTAGGTGATTCGCGCTAGCTTAGAAAATTTGATTGCGAAAAATTGTTGAGTCGAAGCAGGTCGCATTCATTCACACATTTGCAACATAATCGTGACAAAAGACACATTTATCACTAATGCTGGTTTATTGCATTGCCTTGTGTCGGTTTCGGCAAATAACTGGGCTGCCAAACTCAACACTGAAAAGCAAATTTCCCTTTCTCATCCTTAATTGGGAGGAGTTCTGTGTGAACAAAATCAAGATTGTGATTGTTAGGTTCATTATTTTACTATGTTTGAATTATCATCAAGACGACTACATATTTCAACCATTGAAGATTTGCATAAGTTAGTTTGCAATGATTCAGTAACATCAATATTCTTGATTCTCAAAATTTCCGGTCCCGTAATGTTTTATCCGCAGAGTCTAACATAGAACTGCCTTGTCTAGCCTAACAAATTGCCAAGCATGCCTGCTCCAAAATCAATGCCCCTCAATTTTCGGTTTGTTGCTGTTCTGTTTTGGAGCAGGACATTAGAGTATGAAGTCACTGTTCACCTAATAAATTTACAAAACATCTTTTCAGTTGAATCTTCAAATTCTATCAGAGTGTCACAAAATTAATACCATGTCTTAAGGTACGGCGTTACGTAAACACTAAATTGTTTGAGTGGCAATTAAAGGGACAAAGCAAGCTGTACAAGATGGCTCCCAGAGAATGATTGGTTCACAAATTCTGAGGCCAAAGAATGAACACTCAACTGCGCAAAAAAACTGAACACTCAAGCGTTCAGCTCTGGGCTTATCGATTCCAAGAATTTGGTACTTGGACTGTAGGGTGCAACCATGTTATTTGAAACATTTTTAGAAAACTAATGCTTGACCAGAAAGCAAAAAATACGGAATTGTCAGTCAACTTCATCCTGCCTATTTTTCAGAAGAGTACAACAGAACTTTAGCATTGCTGGGATAGGTGTAGTAACAGTAGCCGGCGACTGAAACCGCAGACTTTTCTGGGAGATATTCGAGGAAAGAGGGAAGGCTCCATCGAATGCTTGTCGCTAAGCTGCGCTTGAAAGGTACTGCACTGGCTTACAAATTCTGCAGATACTGCGTTGTATCAAGAAGGCAAACACTGAGAATCTCGGCGGTTAGCGTGAGAATGCTTCCCTGCGAGGATTTTTCCGTGTGGACACGGGTTTCGTCGGCATCACTGGGGTCGAATAGACTTATGCCTCTCTTACGGGTGCAATACGTTTCATTTCATGTCATTCATATCCTACGAGATCGCCGATCGAAAGATGCAATACATCCGTTACTGGTCATCTTACATCATCACAAAGTTGATCAAAATCTGCTACCGAAAGCAGGAATTGCACTGCGGGTTATTGGCTTTTGCGAATATCCTTCACTCGCATCCACGGCATTGCTTTTTAGGTTGAGCATATGACGCGAAATCCATCTAGTAGGGACGCACGAAATAGAGAGATACAAGAGGGGTAAGCATTGAAATCAGTGTCAAAACCATGAATACACAGTATTCCAGAACGGGATAGTGACATATATTCAAGGCTTCCAAAGCATATGATATGACTGCTATAAGGAAGAACATAGGTAGAAGAGCTTGATATGCGAGGACCTGAAACGAAGAAAGTCGTGGTTGGGATGTTTAGAGGACAAAGTTGTCATCATTCTGTTAAAGTTACACTGACAATTAATTCAGTACCGATGGCGTAAAATTATTTGGGTAAAGCACACGTAATGCCTCCCAAAGGCTATCTAACCAAGATCAGACACAGCCACCGAGTTGAGGGTTGGTTATTTGATCATTCATAGATCCAGCAAGCGTAATAAGCTAAAATTGCATCTGAGACGCAAAGTTCAGCAGAAGCGCCAGTGATAGGCTAGCGCATGCGCATGCACACCTTATTCGATCATCTGTCTTCGTTTAGATTCAATTTTTACAGCAGATTTACCTTAGCTGCTTGTGTACAATCTTTGTTTGACGTGACATACTCTCCACTTCGTCCAAGTGTTTTACAATCCTGGAGCTTATAATCACAATCGCAATATATATCGGTGTCACAGGCAACGTCACATGCAGGATCGTGAACATCAAACCCCATTTCATTTCCCTTTATACCATATAGAGCACCAGTATGATTATCGTATTGTGGATAACACGCGTGCAGGACCTCCTTTATTTCCGTAGCAGAATTGCTTGACATGCTCAAGGCTATCTGAGGTCAGAATCATGATTAAACAAGATCAGTTTTTCTCTCATAGACGATATCACACAAATTTGATCGACTTCTTAACATAATGAGTAGCGCACCATTTGAACGAACGATGCAGGTAGCAGATAAGGATAAAAATACGTGTATTCGTTTGTTTCGGGATAGGATTGTGCAAGATATACAGTCTATATGAGAGCGATAAAAGAGCACTCCAAAGTGAATGACTGAAGCAGTGTAGCATGACGTTGTGGCTGAAAACAATAAACTATAATTCAAAATATGATTTCTCTCTAGCTTATCTACGTGCGGCGGCGGCACTATATTCTTGCGGTACAGACAGATTTCGTTGAATAATTCCACACATCAACATTCATACACACATTTTCACAAAACTGCATGCATGTAAGGTTAGCAGGACCCTAACATACCCTTGAAAGCAAAATTCGGAGCTGATAAATTGGCAGGGTCCATTACCTATGAATATTAGACTTTGCGAAGCTGGTATTATGCTAAAAATTGTCAGGTGCAACGTATGCGATTTTTTGAAAATGAAAGATCCGTAACACTCACCGATCTTGCGTTAAGAACACAAATATACAGCATATAAGATCATATGAGTAAAGTTAAAAATTAAATTTGAATAGGTTTTCAGATAGCTCGGAGTATGACATAAAACTAAGTAGAGGAGAATGCTGTTGAATAAAATACCGCATAAGCTTGCCATCGAATAGATTAGAACGCTTACTTTAATGCCAAACTCCATGCTCCCTAAAAAAGATCATGGGAAGAAGTTGGACATTTCAAAGCTGCAGTGGATTTATGGCTGACTGCTATGATGTATAGAAATATGAGTATGACTTCCATATCTGCATCGTTATGCGGGAATAACGCTGATGAGGTTATCAGGATAATTGCTGAGTCAGTTGTTGTGTTCGACGTCTGTTTTTTAATGCTCCTTTCAGAGTGCCGGAGCTATGCCCAGCGCTGGGCCGGCGCAGAGAGCCAGCGTCGAGCTAGCGCCGCGCAGGTGCAGCGCTGCTGATAGTCCCGATGCGATTTTCGATCAATGTAGGGTGCGTCCACTTGGGTAGGGACGCCAGAACTTTAAGTTTTCGTTGCTTTTCATGGCTTTTCCTCCTCTCCGCGTTCTCTTTTGTCTTTTTTATCTCTCTATTGTTTCTTAATGTTGCTTATGACTCATCCAGAAAAAGAGTCTAGTTTTGGGACAACCTAAACAACTTGATTTTGTTTTTTTTCAAGACTGGGACATTATTGGGCAGGACTTTAAGCTCTGTTGACTATGTGAATTTCGAAAATAAAATAGTCGTATTCCTTACCCGAACCCTTAGAAGAAAACAAACGGCCATCTATCCGCACTTTAATCTACAAAATGTATTTCTTCAGCTGCCATTGCTCGAGCACTTGAAGTTGGATTAAGGCATAAACGACGACGAAGGCACAACGAAACCGATGAAGTTGATGGACTTTTGAGACGATTGGGAGGGTAAGGGTAAGCAACTTCTTAACAAAATCATTCCATGGAAAACTATTTAGTGAATGGACGAACAGGGAGAGGCGAGCAGCTGCGGAAGTCATGAGAAGCCGAAAATGTGTCATCAGTGTCATCAAAGTAAACTCCATTTGATAAAGTGATTTTTCAAATAACTGAAAATTATCATTTCCAGCGCCTCTCCACCTATGATTGCAAACTCACTGAACTAGACGAACGTCTTGTAAAGGATCTAGACAAATGCTATCATGTTGCCGTTGATCATGAAAGCCTAACCAGCGACGTCTTGTTCAAAAATAGCAATGAGGATGTGGAAACTGGTTAGTGCACTGATTTTGGGTACATTTACCAATGACTTCAACTTTCAGTAGCTGAGGAAGACGTGGAAACCGAGCCATGGTCATTTATGGACTCGTTGTTATTCGCTTTCACTGTAATCACTACCATAGGTAAGCATTCTTTTCAAAATCTCCCTCACAGCCCCTGCTCTTATAGACAATCCTGTTAATCCCTTACCGTACACCTACCGTGCATGTTTATCTGAAAACACTTGAATATAGATAGCTAGACGGATAAAGGTAAGGTATCTAGTATACGGCAGTGGCGTGCCGAGTGGGGCGGGGGAAGATCATTCAGGTCAAATAACCCTCTGTAATTTCGTATCAATTAGTGCTTGCGGAGGATTTCATTCTTTGATTCGAAAACGGAAAGAGTCTTTTATCTCAAATACTGAAACCTTTCTTAATTCTTTTGACCCTAAAGCCACTAATTAGGTTGATGACCTTTCTACGATTTCTGACCTCGATCGGCTTACTGGAAAAGCCATATTATCAAATACGGTAAAAACATCAGAAGCAATAAACCTTTAGCAATACAGCGCACTTCGAACTATACTCACATCATGAACCAGCAATCAAATATTGGTTGAGAAATAGAAAAAAATTTTGCATTTTAGCCACAAGCCAGTAGTACAAAATAAAACGAAAGGGTCTTGGACAAAAAAGATTCGCGAAAAGAAAAAGTTACAATCTAAAATTGTCAGTTTCTCACCAGTTCTTCAGTAGGCCTTAGGCCTAAGGCATACTCCTTGCGATTCCGTCAAATCACTACATCCACGCGATCTGGCGTTTTGCCAGATGTCTACAGATTAATCGTGCGCTAGTGTCAAATGCATAGGCGCGTAGCTTTTGTGAGCTTTCGCAAAAGTAACAAATCTGGTCCAAGCAAAGTGCATTTACGAACAATCATGAAGAGTTGTTGCAGTGCCAGATCGCGCTGCGACTGGAATCGCGTGAGGTATGTCTCAGGCGTTAAAGTCCCGAATTATAGAATTTTCCGATCCTTTGCTTGCTGAATATTCGAATTTTTCTGCCAAAATTGTCAACACGACGCCATACGCTCTGACGCTTGCTTTTTTGAAAATTCATGGGTCAGAGAGTCACCAACTACAACAACTATTCATGTTGAGACGTCGATATCTCAGTCTGAATAACTTCAAAAAAATATGTGGGCATAATGTTGAATTTCAGTTACATATAGTAGCTAAATTTTCGAAAAAGCGCGTCGTTCGCTTTTGAATTCTGGCAAGAAAAGTAGATGCAACGAAATCCCAGTTTTAAATGCGGTGTATTATTGAGGCTCTGTAAATTTTTGGTAAATTAGGCTAGGGATCCCCTACAACCAACTTTAGTTAGAGCCTGAAAGGAGCTTTTCGGCGATTTGCTAGATCGATTCAAGGAAGAAAACTTTATGGAAAAAATTTGTCCTGATAAAGAGACCTTGAAAAAAGTTCACAAGTTTTGCATCAACCCAATATGTATCTATTGAGTCGCTATCCATAAAATACCGGCAATTTTCTGAACTTATGGATACTGATGGATAGCGCTGCTGAAGATTCACAATAAACTTTTCTGTCGGTACTTAATTTCCAGCATATAATGACCAAAACACCATATCTTTCTTTAAGAGATGCAAACCTTTTATGAAACCCGTCAAAAATTAAACTTGAAATTAAATGAAAACTGTCGGTATGCTTAGAATCCAAAGGAAAGTTTACTCGACTGTTTGGGGATATTACCTTACATGATCGTTGAAGTAGGAGCTATATCGACAGATCTCTACTAAATAGATCCTACTTGTTAGGATCTATTGAATAATATTTGGTGATCGGAGTTTTCCACGGTTATTCATTTACTCTGCTGAACTTGGCTCTGTCGACTGTTTGACTCAAAACATTATTTTTGAACAAAGTGCACTTTTCTTTTGACCTTGCTAGATGAGTCTAGAGCTTCGTGTCTTATTATCCATCTTTGATTTTCTTTTTCGCCCTAAGGGAGGACTGGCAAATTGCGTGCATTTTTCGAATTTTATTTTTGATCTTCTTTCCTTTTTGATGCACCTCGAGTGTATTTATAAAACAAAAGTAAATAGCAAGAAGCTTATCTATATCGTGCATAAGTTCAAGCATAACGCTCAAACTTACATTAAGGATACGGTAACGTTGCGCCAAGAACGTTTGGCGGGCGCTTCTTTGTGATTGCCTACGGCCTTATTGGTATTCCATTCACTTTGTTAGCGATTGCGGATCTAGGCAAATTCTTATCCGAGATTATGGCCAAATGGACGAAATTGATGTCGCGGTTAAAAAAGTGAGTTTCATGTCCAAACAATACTTTCTGTAGTGCGAAAAATTCACAAATTTAGGCGCTTGATAGACGCATGGGTCAGTAGGACAAAGCTAAAAAATCGTTATGATAGTACAGCTAAGCTCAGAGGCAATGGAAATGCGATTTTAGAAAAGACTCAAAGTCGAGAGGAGATTGTGTCACTGGAAGATGGAAAGGTTTGTGATTCAGCGTTCAGAATTGTCCGTGCCATTTCTGCTCCGTGCCGGAATCTATTCGAGGGATGCGTACCTGATAATACCTTCGGCATGCGGACGATTTTGGACTGTGCTCAATAGCCAAAGCTTTCCTAATATATGTTGATTCTTATAATCCTTTTAAAACATCTTCCAGCTTGATGATCCAGAGTCCGAAGTGACTACATCTGAAGAAGAGGAGGAAGATTCCCAGGCTTGGCCGCTTTTTGTACTATTCGTCGTTTATATTGCCCTAGGTAGGCAACCCACAAATTCACTTAGCTAACAGTTGAGCAAAATAAACTTCAGGAGGTGTCATGCTTGCATCGTATGAACCTGATATGGACTTCTTCAAAGCAGTCTACTTCAACTTTGTAACTTTGACATCAATAGGTTTAGGTGATATCGTGCCAAGAAGGTAGATGTAGAATGCAAAGGAATTGTACTCAGTGGAAAAACCTCACATTTTTAGCGAAACATTTATGGCGTTGACGATCGTTTACATTGCCGTTGGTCTTGCACTTACAACTATAGCTATCGAAATAGCCGCCGATACGCTCAAGAAACTACATTACTATGGCCGGAAGATCGAGAACGTTGGAAATGTAGCAATTTGGTTTGGCGGAAAGAAGTATGTTTTGCGGATTCCAATTTTCAAACTACCTCTATGATGGTGTTATAAAATTCATGGTCCTTTGAGATCATTATTACCCGTATTTAAAATAGGGGCTCTTTTGGCTTTGGACCTCAAAAGAAAAAAGTTCGTAAAAAGCGGAAAGCCTTTTAATGAGCAAAATTGTGTGTTTGCTATCGCTTTCCCCCTTATTTGACAAATGTCATTGCACAGTTTTATTTTCACATAGTCTCGTAAGCGCATTTTCCCATATGCTGTAGCTAAGAATAAGCATAAGTGAAGGCGTTGTTGTAACTCTTTGATTATCTATGATTTCAAAATTGTAGAGTTCGTTCAAATACCAAATTTTTAGGCTCACAGTGAAAGCCCTTGTCAAAAATCTTGGTGATCAGTTTAATTTGCCCACCACTGTCGTCAAAGATCTTGACCTGGACCACTTTGTCGACCAAGCCATAAAAGTTGAAGAAGGCGAGATAGAGACATTACGGGTATGTGATTTTGAGCAAAACAGCTCCCTTTTCTTTGGTAAAAACTGCACAATCAAATTGTATCAAAGCAAAGCCTCAATTATAGACATCTTTTGTAATTCAGCAAGTCATGTGAAGATTCGAGAAAAATCGTTAAATACTTAGTGGGGAACGAATTAAGCTATTTAAAATTTTGCATTCGGAAGAGTGAACGTTGTTCGACATTTAACCGCACTAAATCTTATGCGTGAACAACTTTCTTGGAGGTGTTACATTTTTGTCCACAAATGCTTTGGATCTTAAGGTCAGTTAGATTCAATGAGCCAAAAATAATGAAATTTTCCCTTGAACCTTGCTTTTCGTATGTTTCCTTGCAAACTTTGAACAGACTATGAATATACATTCAAATTAGCATTTTGAGGTATTTATTTTACTGCTGCACACCTTATTGCATATGACCACAAATGAAAGAGAGAAAAATTCACAAAGAAAGACATCCTTAGAAGATACAAAGCGTGCACAACGCAAGGCAAGGCCAAGGTGCCTTCTTCCAAATATGAGAGCATATAAAAAATGCTGACTCAGCTAACTGGACAAAGCGTTCAAGTAGCAGCTTTTGTTTTCAAATATATTATATGTTGCCTCTCGAGTGTTCATCTTGGCAGAAGAAGAAAAGTCGTGGGCAGTCTCTAGAGGGCACTACTGCTGTAAGTGTCATCTCCTTTTCGAGAATCATTACGAAGTAGTTTATTGCCCAAATATTATCACCATACTTACACGACGGAAATTGGATGTGTCAACCAGTATCATATTGACTTCTTTATCATTCTTGTAATGCAGCAGGCCACGCTTGAATTGAACGAACTGAACTTCTACGCTGATAAAGCACATAATCAGATTTTTTTCAAATATGCTTCCCGTATAATCGGAAAATTGCTGTCGGTGGCAAAGTTTCATGACTTGGGTGAAAAAGCAAGCGGTAAGAATTTATTTTTGGTATGCCTTATACTTACTATACCACCGCTTAGTTGAAATAAATATGAGTCATAGACGGGAATAAAATGTCTCACCTTTAAAATCACCTTTTTAGCCGCCTCCCTTCGAACCGGATAATATCGACTCTGCCTTTATGGACGAGCCCTCTCAAGGTCTGCTTCATTTCCTTTCTCTGCATAAAAGCAATAGACGATTTTTACATGCTTATACTTCCTCACCTCACAGTATCGGACAAGATTAATGTTTTTATTCTAAAAGGAACTTAGCAGAATCAAGGCTTTCAAATAGTCAATTATCAGCAGATCACAAGATTGTTCTATGATTGCTGTGTTTCCGTAGATGTGCACGAGTGATTTTAGAGGTGTGGAAGGGCGATCCGACACCATCGCCGTCACCGACTCTTCCTTCGTCACCACCTCCGCGTACACCCACGCCCGAACCAGAACCAGAGCCTGAACCCGAGCCTGAACCTGAACCTGAGCCCGAGCCCGAGCCTGAGCCTAAAGAGCCAACCCCTTCACCCACACCTCCACCTTCACCTTCACCCACTCCTTCACCAGGTAATTGCACCAAATGAGCTGCACAGAACACAGAGAAGGAATTTTCAAATGAGTTCAAGAGGCGTCACAAACAATGTTCAGAGCCAGTGAAGGAACCCACACCTGAACCTGAAATATCGCCTGAACCAAGTCCAGTGCCTACCCCTGAACCTCCACGTGAACCGACGCCAGAACCAGAGCCCGAACCAGAGCCAGAATCAGTGCCTGAACCAGAGCCAGAACCTGAACCACTGCCAGAACCAGAACCTGAACCAGAACCAGAGCCATTGCCAGTAAGTTGCTAGCTTACAGCACTACTCAAAGTGACATTGTTAATGACTAAACCATGATTTCCAGGAACCCTCTCCGAGACGTAAGTTTACTGATTATTAGCGTGAATTGTGGTTCGCAATAAACTTTCAAAGCCGAGTTACTGTTTTAAGCTCGACAACTTACTGCAGAAGAAATTGCTGCGCAGAGACGACGGGAATACAGCGAAATGGCTAAGCGAAGATACGAAGAGTATCAGAAGGTTTGTAAGATGTGAATAACTGGTGACATTCCGTATCCTACTATTCCAGCAATGGAAGAAATTCCGGCAACGAGCGCATCGGCCAAGTATGCCGGAACATCGACCAGGTTCAGCGGTGCCGCCATCTCGAAGAAGTTCAGGGGCACCATCATCATCATCTAGGCGAGAGTCAAACGTGCCGTCGTCCGGAAGAAGTTCGGCGGCACATTCCTCGAAAAACTCCACTCGACCAGGAACTCCTGAAAGCTCATCTTGATTCTGTATCATGCGAATTATTGTTCATATTGTTGTATACTTTGTTTATAATTATAAATTGCTGACATGATCTGCACAAAATTCTCTGTACTGAGTAGGTGATTCGCGCTAGCTTAGAAAATTTGATTGCGAAAAATTGTTGAGTCGAAGCAGGTCGCATTCATTCACACATTTGCAACATAATCGTGACAAAAGACACATTTATCACTAATGCTGGTTTATTGCATTGCCTTGTGTCGGTTTCGGCAAATAACTGGGCTGCCAAACTCAACACTGAAAAGCAAATTTCCCTTTCTCATCCTTAATTGGGAGGAGTTCTGTGTGAACAAAATCAAGATTGTGATTGTTAGGTTCATTATTTTACTATGTTTGAATTATCATCAAGACGACTACATATTTCAACCATTGAAGATTTGCATAAGTTAGTTTGCAATGATTCAGTAACATCAATATTCTTGATTCTCAAAATTTCCGGTCCCGTAATGTTTTATCCGCAGAGTCTAACATAGAACTGCCTTGTCTAGCCTAACAAATTGCCAAGCATGCCTGCTCCAAAATCAATGCCCCTCAATTTTCGGTTTGTTGCTGTTCTGTTTTGGAGCAGGACATTAGAGTATGAAGTCACTGTTCACCTAATAAATTTACAAAACATCTTTTCAGTTGAATCTTCAAATTCTATCAGAGTGTCACAAAATTAATACCATGTCTTAAGGTACGGCGTTACGTAAACACTAAATTGTTTGAGTGGCAATTAAAGGGACAAAGCAAGCTGTACAAGATGGCTCCCAGAGAATGATTGGTTCACAAATTCTGAGGCCAAAGAATGAACACTCAACTGCGCAAAAAAACTGAACACTCAAGCGTTCAGCTCTGGGCTTATCGATTCCAAGAATTTGGTACTTGGACTGTAGGGTGCAACCATGTTATTTGAAACATTTTTAGAAAACTAATGCTTGACCAGAAAGCAAAAAATACGGAATTGTCAGTCAACTTCATCCTGCCTATTTTTCAGAAGAGTACAACAGAACTTTAGCATTGCTGGGATAGGTGTAGTAACAGTAGCCGGCGACTGAAACCGCAGACTTTTCTGGGAGATATTCGAGGAAAGAGGGAAGGCTCCATCGAATGCTTGTCGCTAAGCTGCGCTTGAAAGGTACTGCACTGGCTTACAAATTCTGCAGATACTGCGTTGTATCAAGAAGGCAAACACTGAGAATCTCGGCGGTTAGCGTGAGAATGCTTCCCTGCGAGGATTTTTCCGTGTGGACACGGGTTTCGTCGGCATCACTGGGGTCGAATAGACTTATGCCTCTCTTACGGGTGCAATACGTTTCATTTCATGTCATTCATATCCTACGAGATCGCCGATCGAAAGATGCAATACATCCGTTACTGGTCATCTTACATCATCACAAAGTTGATCAAAATCTGCTACCGAAAGCAGGAATTGCACTGCGGGTTATTGGCTTTTGCGAATATCCTTCACTCGCATCCACGGCATTGCTTTTTAGGTTGAGCATATGACGCGAAATCCATCTAGTAGGGACGCACGAAATAGAGAGATACAAGAGGGGTAAGCATTGAAATCAGTGTCAAAACCATGAATACACAGTATTCCAGAACGGGATAGTGACATATATTCAAGGCTTCCAAAGCATATGATATGACTGCTATAAGGAAGAACATAGGTAGAAGAGCTTGATATGCGAGGACCTGAAACGAAGAAAGTCGTGGTTGGGATGTTTAGAGGACAAAGTTGTCATCATTCTGTTAAAGTTACACTGACAATTAATTCAGTACCGATGGCGTAAAATTATTTGGGTAAAGCACACGTAATGCCTCCCAAAGGCTATCTAACCAAGATCAGACACAGCCACCGAGTTGAGGGTTGGTTATTTGATCATTCATAGATCCAGCAAGCGTAATAAGCTAAAATTGCATCTGAGACGCAAAGTTCAGCAGAAGCGCCAGTGATAGGCTAGCGCATGCGCATGCACACCTTATTCGATCATCTGTCTTCGTTTAGATTCAATTTTTACAGCAGATTTACCTTAGCTGCTTGTGTACAATCTTTGTTTGACGTGACATACTCTCCACTTCGTCCAAGTGTTTTACAATCCTGGAGCTTATAATCACAATCGCAATATATATCGGTGTCACAGGCAACGTCACATGCAGGATCGTGAACATCAAACCCCATTTCATTTCCCTTTATACCATATAGAGCACCAGTATGATTATCGTATTGTGGATAACACGCGTGCAGGACCTCCTTTATTTCCGTAGCAGAATTGCTTGACATGCTCAAGGCTATCTGAGGTCAGAATCATGATTAAACAAGATCAGTTTTTCTCTCATAGACGATATCACACAAATTTGATCGACTTCTTAACATAATGAGTAGCGCACCATTTGAACGAACGATGCAGGTAGCAGATAAGGATAAAAATACGTGTATTCGTTTGTTTCGGGATAGGATTGTGCAAGATATACAGTCTATATGAGAGCGATAAAAGAGCACTCCAAAGTGAATGACTGAAGCAGTGTAGCATGACGTTGTGGCTGAAAACAATAAACTATAATTCAAAATATGATTTCTCTCTAGCTTATCTACGTGCGGCGGCGGCACTATATTCTTGCGGTACAGACAGATTTCGTTGAATAATTCCACACATCAACATTCATACACACATTTTCACAAAACTGCATGCATGTAAGGTTAGCAGGACCCTAACATACCCTTGAAAGCAAAATTCGGAGCTGATAAATTGGCAGGGTCCATTACCTATGAATATTAGACTTTGCGAAGCTGGTATTATGCTAAAAATTGTCAGGTGCAACGTATGCGATTTTTTGAAAATGAAAGATCCGTAACACTCACCGATCTTGCGTTAAGAACACAAATATACAGCATATAAGATCATATGAGTAAAGTTAAAAATTAAATTTGAATAGGTTTTCAGATAGCTCGGAGTATGACATAAAACTAAGTAGAGGAGAATGCTGTTGAATAAAATACCGCATAAGCTTGCCATCGAATAGATTAGAACGCTTACTTTAATGCCAAACTCCATGCTCCCTAAAAAAGATCATGGGAAGAAGTTGGACATTTCAAAGCTGCAGTGGATTTATGGCTGACTGCTATGATGTATAGAAATATGAGTATGACTTCCATATCTGCATCGTTATGCGGGAATAACGCTGATGAGGTTATCAGGATAATTGCTGAGTCAGTTGTTGTGTTCGACGTCTGTTTTTTAATGCTCCTTTCAGAGTGCCGGAGCTATGCCCAGCGCTGGGCCGGCGCAGAGAGCCAGCGTCGAGCTAGCGCCGCGCAGGTGCAGCGCTGCTGATAGTCCCGATGCGATTTTCGATCAATGTAGGGTGCGTCCACTTGGGTAGGGACGCCAGAACTTTAAGTTTTCGTTGCTTTTCATGGCTTTTCCTCCTCTCCGCGTTCTCTTTTGTCTTTTTTATCTCTCTATTGTTTCTTAATGTTGCTTATGACTCATCCAGAAAAAGAGTCTAGTTTTGGGACAACCTAAACAACTTGATTTTGTTTTTTTTCAAGACTGGGACATTATTGGGCAGGACTTTAAGCTCTGTTGACTATGTGAATTTCGAAAATAAAATAGTCGTATTCCTTACCCGAACCCTTAGAAGAAAACAAACGGCCATCTATCCGCACTTTAATCTACAAAATGTATTTCTTCAGCTGCCATTGCTCGAGCACTTGAAGTTGGATTAAGGCATAAACGACGACGAAGGCACAACGAAACCGATGAAGTTGATGGACTTTTGAGACGATTGGGAGGGTAAGGGTAAGCAACTTCTTAACAAAATCATTCCATGGAAAACTATTTAGTGAATGGACGAACAGGGAGAGGCGAGCAGCTGCGGAAGTCATGAGAAGCCGAAAATGTGTCATCAGTGTCATCAAAGTAAACTCCATTTGATAAAGTGATTTTTCAAATAACTGAAAATTATCATTTCCAGCGCCTCTCCACCTATGATTGCAAACTCACTGAACTAGACGAACGTCTTGTAAAGGATCTAGACAAATGCTATCATGTTGCCGTTGATCATGAAAGCCTAACCAGCGACGTCTTGTTCAAAAATAGCAATGAGGATGTGGAAACTGGTTAGTGCACTGATTTTGGGTACATTTACCAATGACTTCAACTTTCAGTAGCTGAGGAAGACGTGGAAACCGAGCCATGGTCATTTATGGACTCGTTGTTATTCGCTTTCACTGTAATCACTACCATAGGTAAGCATTCTTTTCAAAATCTCCCTCACAGCCCCTGCTCTTATAGACAATCCTGTTAATCCCTTACCGTACACCTACCGTGCATGTTTATCTGAAAACACTTGAATATAGATAGCTAGACGGATAAAGGTAAGGTATCTAGTATACGGCAGTGGCGTGCCGAGTGGGGCGGGGGAAGATCATTCAGGTCAAATAACCCTCTGTAATTTCGTATCAATTAGTGCTTGCGGAGGATTTCATTCTTTGATTCGAAAACGGAAAGAGTCTTTTATCTCAAATACTGAAACCTTTCTTAATTCTTTTGACCCTAAAGCCACTAATTAGGTTGATGACCTTTCTACGATTTCTGACCTCGATCGGCTTACTGGAAAAGCCATATTATCAAATACGGTAAAAACATCAGAAGCAATAAACCTTTAGCAATACAGCGCACTTCGAACTATACTCACATCATGAACCAGCAATCAAATATTGGTTGAGAAATAGAAAAAAATTTTGCATTTTAGCCACAAGCCAGTAGTACAAAATAAAACGAAAGGGTCTTGGACAAAAAAGATTCGCGAAAAGAAAAAGTTACAATCTAAAATTGTCAGTTTCTCACCAGTTCTTCAGTAGGCCTTAGGCCTAAGGCATACTCCTTGCGATTCCGTCAAATCACTACATCCACGCGATCTGGCGTTTTGCCAGATGTCTACAGATTAATCGTGCGCTAGTGTCAAATGCATAGGCGCGTAGCTTTTGTGAGCTTTCGCAAAAGTAACAAATCTGGTCCAAGCAAAGTGCATTTACGAACAATCATGAAGAGTTGTTGCAGTGCCAGATCGCGCTGCGACTGGAATCGCGTGAGGTATGTCTCAGGCGTTAAAGTCCCGAATTATAGAATTTTCCGATCCTTTGCTTGCTGAATATTCGAATTTTTCTGCCAAAATTGTCAACACGACGCCATACGCTCTGACGCTTGCTTTTTTGAAAATTCATGGGTCAGAGAGTCACCAACTACAACAACTATTCATGTTGAGACGTCGATATCTCAGTCTGAATAACTTCAAAAAAATATGTGGGCATAATGTTGAATTTCAGTTACATATAGTAGCTAAATTTTCGAAAAAGCGCGTCGTTCGCTTTTGAATTCTGGCAAGAAAAGTAGATGCAACGAAATCCCAGTTTTAAATGCGGTGTATTATTGAGGCTCTGTAAATTTTTGGTAAATTAGGCTAGGGATCCCCTACAACCAACTTTAGTTAGAGCCTGAAAGGAGCTTTTCGGCGATTTGCTAGATCGATTCAAGGAAGAAAACTTTATGGAAAAAATTTGTCCTGATAAAGAGACCTTGAAAAAAGTTCACAAGTTTTGCATCAACCCAATATGTATCTATTGAGTCGCTATCCATAAAATACCGGCAATTTTCTGAACTTATGGATACTGATGGATAGCGCTGCTGAAGATTCACAATAAACTTTTCTGTCGGTACTTAATTTCCAGCATATAATGACCAAAACACCATATCTTTCTTTAAGAGATGCAAACCTTTTATGAAACCCGTCAAAAATTAAACTTGAAATTAAATGAAAACTGTCGGTATGCTTAGAATCCAAAGGAAAGTTTACTCGACTGTTTGGGGATATTACCTTACATGATCGTTGAAGTAGGAGCTATATCGACAGATCTCTACTAAATAGATCCTACTTGTTAGGATCTATTGAATAATATTTGGTGATCGGAGTTTTCCACGGTTATTCATTTACTCTGCTGAACTTGGCTCTGTCGACTGTTTGACTCAAAACATTATTTTTGAACAAAGTGCACTTTTCTTTTGACCTTGCTAGATGAGTCTAGAGCTTCGTGTCTTATTATCCATCTTTGATTTTCTTTTTCGCCCTAAGGGAGGACTGGCAAATTGCGTGCATTTTTCGAATTTTATTTTTGATCTTCTTTCCTTTTTGATGCACCTCGAGTGTATTTATAAAACAAAAGTAAATAGCAAGAAGCTTATCTATATCGTGCATAAGTTCAAGCATAACGCTCAAACTTACATTAAGGATACGGTAACGTTGCGCCAAGAACGTTTGGCGGGCGCTTCTTTGTGATTGCCTACGGCCTTATTGGTATTCCATTCACTTTGTTAGCGATTGCGGATCTAGGCAAATTCTTATCCGAGATTATGGCCAAATGGACGAAATTGATGTCGCGGTTAAAAAAGTGAGTTTCATGTCCAAACAATACTTTCTGTAGTGCGAAAAATTCACAAATTTAGGCGCTTGATAGACGCATGGGTCAGTAGGACAAAGCTAAAAAATCGTTATGATAGTACAGCTAAGCTCAGAGGCAATGGAAATGCGATTTTAGAAAAGACTCAAAGTCGAGAGGAGATTGTGTCACTGGAAGATGGAAAGGTTTGTGATTCAGCGTTCAGAATTGTCCGTGCCATTTCTGCTCCGTGCCGGAATCTATTCGAGGGATGCGTACCTGATAATACCTTCGGCATGCGGACGATTTTGGACTGTGCTCAATAGCCAAAGCTTTCCTAATATATGTTGATTCTTATAATCCTTTTAAAACATCTTCCAGCTTGATGATCCAGAGTCCGAAGTGACTACATCTGAAGAAGAGGAGGAAGATTCCCAGGCTTGGCCGCTTTTTGTACTATTCGTCGTTTATATTGCCCTAGGTAGGCAACCCACAAATTCACTTAGCTAACAGTTGAGCAAAATAAACTTCAGGAGGTGTCATGCTTGCATCGTATGAACCTGATATGGACTTCTTCAAAGCAGTCTACTTCAACTTTGTAACTTTGACATCAATAGGTTTAGGTGATATCGTGCCAAGAAGGTAGATGTAGAATGCAAAGGAATTGTACTCAGTGGAAAAACCTCACATTTTTAGCGAAACATTTATGGCGTTGACGATCGTTTACATTGCCGTTGGTCTTGCACTTACAACTATAGCTATCGAAATAGCCGCCGATACGCTCAAGAAACTACATTACTATGGCCGGAAGATCGAGAACGTTGGAAATGTAGCAATTTGGTTTGGCGGAAAGAAGTATGTTTTGCGGATTCCAATTTTCAAACTACCTCTATGATGGTGTTATAAAATTCATGGTCCTTTGAGATCATTATTACCCGTATTTAAAATAGGGGCT